TATACCAGCCAGCGCTGCTTTCGTATATGGATATACCAGCCAGCGCTGCTTTCGTATACGGATATACCAGCCAGCGCTGCTTTCGTATATGGATACTGTAAAGTAACAGCAAGCCAGGCTCAGCACCTGAATACTATGATCTTAAGGCCTCATTCCTTCGCCCAGACATTGCCCAGGACTCTCAAGCAAGGGCTGAGGGTGGTGGGTAACATTCAGCCCTGTTTTACATAATCCCAGCCGCTCAAGCCTCATCTGCTCCAAGAGAGTTCTGCAAGATCTCTCTTGAGCAAGGAGGCTTCCTGTGGCAAAGCCACACGGCTGTGGCTGGTCAGGTGTTTCGCCACACCACAGGAACAAGACATCCAGAAGACCTTGAGTGCCTTTTGAGGTGCTAGTGAGCCTCTTGACGACTGGGCATGGGTGGGACTGATGCGGCAGAGAGGAACCGGATGGAAGCCTCTGGTGTGGGAACAGAAAGAAGAGGAGGTAGAAAGCAAAGGCAAGCACTTCAAACACACTGCCTGCCCCGGATGTACCCTCTACTGGACACTCCCAAACTCCTATAGCCCCAAGGACACCATCTCTCCAAATACAAAACACCAAAAAAAAAAAAAAAAAAAAAAAGGAGGGAGGGGGATAGGAGTGTGCAATCCCAGCTACTCAGAAAGCCAAGGATTTTCTTCTAGGGAGTTCTTTCTGGGCAGTTAATGGCTGAACCACAGATGAGACAAAAAAAAAAAAATTAAACAAAACCAAAACAAAGCAAGATCTTCTACTTAAAAAAAAAATCTTGCCAGGTGATGGTGGCGCACACCTTTAATCCCAGCACGCGAGCTAAGCAGATCTCTGTGAGTTTGAGGCCAGCCTGATCTACAGAGCAAGATCCAGGACAGGCACCAAAACAAAACAGAGAAATCCTATCTTGAAAAAAACAAAAACAAAACAAACAAACAAAAAATCTTGCTGGGCATGGTGGCTTACACCTTTAATCCCAGCACTCAGGAGGCAGAGGCAGGGGTGGATCTCTGTAAGTTCGAGGCCAGCCTGGTCTAGACAGAGAAACCCTGTTTCAAAAAATCAAAACTATAAATAAATAAATACAGACAGACAGACATAAATGGGTGGATAGATAAATAAATAAATGTGAACATCTCAGAATGACAGATGACAGTGAATCGTGGCCCAGTGGCTGACCTAGAGTCCAGACTACTGGTTTTCAACCTGTGGGTCTCAACCCCTCTGGGGGATGAAGGACATTTTCACAGGGGTCACATATCAGATATCCTGCATCTCAAGATATTTGCATTATGATTCATAACAGTAGCTGAATTACAGTTATGAAGTAGCAACAAAATAATTTTATGGCTGGCGGTTACATCATGAAGAACTGAATTAAAAAGTTGCAGAATTAGGAAGATTGAGAACCACTGGCCTAGATCGTGCATCAAGACATATAGAAAGGGCTAGAGAGGCGTTGGAGGATGGGAAGCAGCCCGCCAGGCACTTATTGGACTCGGAGCCTGGCCCGCACAGGTCTCAGCATGACGTCACAGGGATGCCAGAGGCTCTTCTGCCTGGAACGCTGAAACTTGCGTCTGTTAGGAGTTTCAGATACATTATTTTGGGAAGCCATTTTCTTCCTTTTAAAATTATTTACTAGTCCTTTGGAGACTTTGTATCGTGTATTTTGATCATATTCACTCCCTTCCCCCAAACTCCTCCCAGATCCACCCCCCCTCCCTACTCACCGGACTTTATGCCCTCTGGTTTCGGTTTCGGTTTTTAACCCATTAAGTCCCGTTTGTGCTGCCCATATACTCTTGGGTGTGGCCGTCCACCGGAGCACGGTGGACCCACCAGGAACTGCACCCTAATTAGACTCAATGTGCTGTGAGATATTTGTTCTCACTGACACTCCCAGACTGACAATAAAGTTTACTTTGAATCAGAGGGCGGAGTTAGCAACTAGCTGACTAGAATTAGCCATAGAGGTTTTGGAGGACCCAGGATACATATAGGGAGACACAGGAAGTAGTAGGGAAGGGCTCAGAAAGATTCACAGGCCTTTTGGATCAAGGAAGAAGAGAGAGGAGAGGTCACTGGTCTATTCTCCACTACTTCTCTGACCAATCAGGTTTTTAACCAAGCTGAGGGTGAAACCTACAGCGTAGTATGCTTTAGACAAGGTCTCTACGGCTGAACTACATCTGGACCCACACATCTTTTTATTTTTTTAGACTTATGTATTTTATGAGTGTTTTGCCTGCATGTATATAAGTGCACACCAGGCTTGCATGGTACCCACAGTAGTCAGAAGATGGCATCAGATCCCCTGGAACTGGAGTTATGGATAGTTGTAAGCTACCATGTGTGCTGGAAACTGAATTCAAGCACTCTGGAAGAGTAACAAGGGCTCCTAACTGCCGAGCCATCTTCCCAGTCCCCCTTTTTCCTTAGTACATAAGATGTATATCATGATTCAATTAATATATAGCAAGATACCTTGTGTTTAGTTAAGTTTAGTGGTTAAGGCACCTGGGCGGTGTAAAAACATGCCTTTCCCACTAAAGACTTAAGGTGGATCAAGTGAGCGGTCCAGTCCAGTCCTTTGGGGAAACCGAGCCTATGCCAATCTTTAGACAAGGGACAGCAGCAGCCAGTGAGGCAAATGGGTGGGAAATGCAAGGTTGCCACAGCAACAGCGGGACGTGCAGAGAGCTCCCTGTGCACCAGGTGCTGGGCTAGAGCACGTACAGGAATTTCTCCTAAGATTATTTTAACAGAGTAAAGGAAACTGAGGCCTCAGAGCCTTCCTAGCTGGTACCACTAACCTTATAACCCTTTCCAAAAGCACGAGAAGTGAGAGTCTAGGGCTTGAAGTAACCCAGCACTCAGGAGGCTGAGACAGGAGGATTGCCATGACTGACTTTGAGGCCAACCTGGGTTATATAATAGGATCCAGGCCATCCAGAGTTACATGGAGAGACCCTGTCTCAAAACAAAACAACAGGCTAGTCCTGACTTTAGACAAAATTTCAATTAAAGAAGTTCAATTCTCAGGAAAGGAGCAGGGAAATGAGAGGGTGGTATCACCTGTCGGCTTGCACAAATTCGCAAATACTGAATTTACTCCCCTCACGTGGGAATGAGTGTTTCAGCTGTGAGAGCTCCAGCAGAGACGGGGAACGATGTTGAGTCTGTCCTTAACTGCCCTCTTCTGGTCACCAGAGGTGGAACCGCTTTCCTCAGGGACCTGGCCCAGCCCCATAAGGAGCAGTCCGGCATTCATCCCCAGCTTGGTACATGACAGAACTGTGTGTGGCCAAAGAGAGTGTGGCAAGAACTAGCTTAGAGGATCGGGGCATCTGGAGTCAGGAACTTCAGAAAAATAAACAAATACAGACAAGCGCCATAAAACCTGGATACCACAAAGAAGTATGAAGATGGAAGCCACGCAGAGGCAGGAGAGATAGGCGGAGACAGAAGCAGAGACACACGAAGAGACAGACAGACGAGCAGTGTCCCAGACATGAAGTCAGAAAGAGGCAGAGGGGCTTCGGGACCACAAGCCCTGTCTGCTTTCCCGAGGTGGGGTTCCAGCAGGGAGAGCCCCGCCGCGTTTACCCACGGGTCTCCAGACCATCCTCACCCCCGTCTGAACAGCCAGCTCTAGGAGAGGCAGGCTCTGATGGAACCCGACAGCCTGGTACAGAGTGAATGAGATGGCTTCTCTGCATAGCCAGTCCAGCCTTACATTTTCCCAGAATGCACCATGCCTCTGTTCTCTCCTTGCAAACACATCTGCCTTTTCTCCTTTATAGGAGACACAGATGTGCATCACTTTGCCTCTTCTTTGTTATAGGAGATACAGATGTGTATCACTTTAATTGTATTCAGAAGGAAACAGGGCTGTGAACCTGGCAGTGTTTGAACATCCTATGTGGTTTCTAGCACTAAAAAAAAAGAAGAAGAAGAAAAGTAGGAAATATTTAAAAAAAAAAAAAAAAAGAGCTGGGTTTACCAGTGTGGTGGCGTACACCTTTAATCAGAGACAGAGGCAGGTGGGGCTCTGTGATTTCGAGACCAGCCCAGTCTACATAGTGAGTTCCAGGACAGCCTGGTCTACATAATAAGATCCTGTCTCAAAAGAAGAAAAAGAGCATGGCTTGGTGGCCCACACCTACAGTCCCAACACTTGGCAACACTTGGGAGACAGAAGCAAAAGGATCAGAAGTTCAAGGTCAGTTTAAGTTGAAAATGAGCTCAAGTCTAGCCTGAGCTCCATGAGTCCCTGTCTGAGGGGCGGGGCAGGGAGCTAGCTTCTTCCTGGACTTGACTGAAGGCTCTGCCTGCCTGACCGCCTGCAGGGCCTGTTCCAGCCTTCCTGGACAGCCCTGTGGCCCCATGGGGCAGCGCCCCATGGGCACTTTCAGCAGGGTCTGATGCATGCTAGGAGTGCAAGAGGAATGAGGGGGGGGGTCATAGCAGGTGCAACTCTGCTTCATGGGGAGAAATTCCTGCCTGCTTCCCGTTACAAACCCCACCTGCCTTACTCACCTGGGCCACATTCAGCTTCCTCCACAAAAACTGCCACCATCAGCTTCTGGAGCTGACTACCCCCATTCTAATTCTCTTTCGGCCATTTGCCAAGAGGTGGCTTTGCCGCTCTGCACTTCTGTTTGCCCATACAGGAAATGGAATATTGATAGCACCAGCTTCCACTGCACAGGGTTGGGGCTCTGGAGGCCAGACGAGCCTCGGAAAGTCTGTCCAAATTTCAAGTTCTGGTCTGTACAAGGAACGCAGGGATTCTGAGCCTTTGGGGTACGTGCAGCTGATTAGATGCACCAAGAGACCTGCTAGAGGTGAGTGGGAAGATGACTTTGTGGCTTTCCAGAGTCCTCACTTCTCCCTACATGACCAGCTCTTCCTGGTCCTCTTGGTCCTTCTCCATGGATCCAGCCTGTCCAGCTCCAGCTGCTAGTTGCCTTCAATAGCTCCTCTGCTCCTCCTAACCCGCAGGCTTCCCAGACCACAGACCCTGCCAGAATGGAGAACCAATCTCCAACACCCCTGCTCCCCTTCACAGCTGGCTGTGCTTTTCTCAAATTAGTCATGCTAGAGGGTCCAGCAGTTGGGAAGAATGTTAACTATGCCAGCAGTGCCTTGGCACTGATCCTCATCCAGAAAGACCTGCTTTTACAGGTATGTGGAGGTGTGTAACTCCCAGCACTTCTCCACTTCTTGCAGCTCCGAGGTAAGCCCAGGCTCAATTGTGCACTTTTTTTTTTTTGGGGGGGGGGGGTTTGAGACAGGGTTTCTCTGTGTAGCTTTGTGCCTTTCCTGGGACTGGATCTCGCTCTGTAGACCAGGGTGGCCTCAAACTCACAAAGATCTGCCTGCCTCTGCCTCCCGAGTGCTGGGATTAATACCCGGCTGTGCACTCATTTTTAAAACTGTCTATCTGGTCCTTCATACAGTGTTCCTATAGACAGTCTTAAACTCCACATAGGTGGTACTTTAGCACACTCCTTTCCATCTCTGCTCTGCCACCTACATTAACCCTCACAGATACTTGGGGTTCAAATACATTCAGTTCATAGTACATGGGAATTCATTCCATTTGGTTCATAGCTAAATAAACTCCTAACCTAAGGAATGTTATGACTCTTTCTCTGGTCAGTGGGGAAATTCATCTTTGAATGCACATTGTTTTAGTTGATCTTTTGTTGGTTGTAGCTGGAGTTTTCTCTCCGGGTCCCGCCAAGCCCCGGCAGTCCCTTAGCCCACTTATAAAATAAACATACAGACGCTTATATTATTTAAACTGCTTGGCCATTAGCTCAGGCCTATCATTGTCTAGCTCTTACTCTTATATTAAGCCCATTTTTATTAATCTATACTTTGCCATGTGGCTCATGGCTTATTGGTACCTTACATCTTCCTTGTCCTGGTGGCGGCTCCAGCAGTCTCCCCCTCTGCCTTCCTGTTCCCTCAATTCTCCTCTCAGTTAGTCCCGCCTATACTTCCTGTCTGGCTACTGGCCAATCAGTGTTTATTTCTACAGAGCGATATCCACAGCAGTTGGTCTTTTTTATTTTTCTTTCTTCAGGACAGGGTTTCTCTATGTAGCTTTGGAGCCTGTCCTGGATCTCGCTCTGTAGCCCAGGCTGGCCTCGAACTCACAGAGATCCGCCTGCCTCTGCCTCCTGAGTGCTGGGATTAAAGGCATGTGCCACCACCGTCCAGGGGTCTTTTTTATTTTTCTATTGAAAATAGCCCTTAGTAGGAACATTTCTGTACTGCTGAAGTTTCTGTAGTTTAAACTCTAAGCCTGCCCCGCCACACACACACCCATGCCTTGCCCTTCCTCCATACCCAACCCCTGATGTTCAGACCTGGTTCAGACAACCCTGACGCACGGCCACTTTACATAACTAGACAGTGCCCAAGTTCTGTTACTGGGGCAGGGGTTCAGGGTGGGGGTGGGGATCTCATTCCATGAACTGCTTTCAGTAAGGATCCAGAGTGAACTCAGATGTTAGGCAGCCCAGCAGAGCAGAATCACAGAATTTTAGAATCCGTCTCTTTCCCTTCGTGTTCCTACAAACTTAAATACACCCTCCAGACTCACTAGCTCTTAGCTGGCTTAAAGATCAGTTGTTTTGTTTTGCTGGTTTTTCCAGACAGAGTTTCTCTTGCAGTCTTGGCTGGCCTGGAACTTGCTCTGTATATCAGGCTGTCCTGGAACTCACAGAGTTCCACCTGCCTCTGCCTCCCAAATGTTGGAATTAGAGGCTTGTGCCACCACGCCCGGCAAGATCAGATATTTTGTAAGTCACATGCTTGGCAGTGAATAGCACCTCTGCCACGTGTTACAACCTAAATGACTTTTCACAGTCCTTGAGGGCCACTTTTGTGGGGGGAAAAAAAAAGACTTTTTGTTGTTTGGGGATTTTGTTTGTTTTTAATTTATTTTTACTTTATGTTCATTGGTGTTTTGCCTACATGTATGTCTGTGTGAGGGTGTGAGAAGACCTGGAACTGGAGTTATAGACAGATGTGAGCTGCCATGTGGGTGCTGGAACTGAACCTGGGTCCTCTGGAAGAACAGGCACTCTTAACCACTGAGCCATCTCTCCAGCCTGTTTTTTTTTAAGACAGGGCCTCACTATGTTGCTCTAGCTAGCCTAGAACTC